TGATCTGATTGGCACAGGAAGGTTATGTTCTTTGTCCATGAGCCATAAAGTTGGCAAACATTGTCAAGTTTTTTTGCATTTTCACACTAACATAAACTAATTTTAAAGTGTCTCTCAAGGAAAGGTGTAGTAGCCCAAGGCTACTTAAGTTTTGAGATTTCCACATGTTAACAACTGCGTGAAATGATGTTGAAGTCAGGCCTATAAAGTATTCAAAAGTGTTTTTGTTTTAATAATAGGGACTAGTGTTTAGTAATTCCTTTTATAAAATGAAATTTCAGTCCTTTGGTAGTTAAGAGTTATAAATTGGTCAAGATAATGCCACAAATCTTTGGAATAATTACAAAACTTAGGAAAAATCAATAGAGTGAAACTTCAAGATACAGAAGATCAGTTTTTGTTTCCAGTAATTCTGAAATACTTCCTACTCCTCTCTCTTCTGTTTTATACCTTTTCTTACATTCTTTTTCCTGTTCTCTTGATCTTAAAACTTGAAATACTTAAAAACTAAATGCATATATTGGAAGCTAAAAATACTACATAAAACATTTTATAGATGTAAAATCATTTTAGATGCATATACTTTGGTTAAATATAGGTTTCAGTTATAGAATATGTAAATATTTCTCTGCAAAGTAAACTTGTTTTAAAAATGTGAATTTTAAGAAGTTTAACTGCAAATATAGTTGTAATAGCAGATCTCATCTTCTAATCCCCTACCTATCAATTGGCAGGCATTTCTTAAGGATTTGTTTATGTAGCAGATGCTGGGAATAGGAGGAAGTGTACAAATAGATATGTCCTTAATCTCAAAGGATTCTCTTTTTCCTACATCCCTTTGTTATGTTACTTCTACCTGATGTGCCTTTTTCAGCTTTGTTAAACTTCTTACTTTGTCTTTCTCCTTTTCCTATTTCACATAATTTTCATACCAAGAAGCCTCTATAAACTCCTCTTTGTGTTTTATTTATGCCCAACTACTTTACTATTTGCCTATCAGACTGCAAGTTCCTAAAGAGAAGCCATGCAACTTTAACTTGAGTTGTTTTTTTTTTTTAATGGCACATAGAACAATGTCATGTATGCATGGGAGTTTAACAATGTTGAGGTTGTGACCAGGATACATTTTATGTCTTACAGACTGCCAAATCTACTGCCTCCTAGCACTGAACCACTGGGGCTTAATACTAGCTTTAATTCCTAGTTATCAGTTGGCAGATAACCAAAACACCTAAGAATGAGGGCTAACCAGAGCTAGTGGTTTTAAATTCCATTGAAATTCTCAGAATGTCTTTGGATTTATCCCATCTTGAAAATGAGATTGACAAAAGTAATTTTGAAAGGCAGAAGTGTTTCAGTATTAAAAACATCAGTTTGGTACTTATAACTTTATTACTTGAAAACAATCTTCCTGTTGCATTCTGTCCATTCTAATTTGGTGTTATAAAGTATTATCTGTAGCACAAATTTTTCAGTTTTTTTCTTCTATCTCCTTTTATTCTTTCTTGCAACACATTTACAGCCTCATTCAATTCAATAAACATTTTTTAAAGGCCTTCTGTGTCCAGTGTAAGCACTGGTCTAAGGACAGGAAGAAGAAAAAACAAAAACAGTCCGCCCTTTCAAGGAGCTTACATTCAGCATAGTGTTTAAAGTAATCAAAAGAGATTTCTCTTAAACAAATGGAAGCACATAGCAGTTATGTGTTTTTGTTTGCCTTGGCAGTCTCAAAATAATTTACTTAGAACTGGAGAACTTTTAAGGGCAGCTAGGTGGCGCAGTGGATAGAGCACCAGCCTTGAAATCAGGAGGACCTGAGTTCAAATGTGGCCTCAGACCAAACACTTGACACTTACTAGCTGTGTGACCCTGGGCAAGTCACTTAACCTCAATTGCCTAAAAACAAAAACAGAACTGGAGAACTTTTTTTCTGTAACTCTGTCATTGATGCATTTAGATTACCTTCAGATATGTATAAAGTTATGTTAATAGTTTTCACAATTCTGTTTCCTTGACCTATAGGTCTTTAGAGTGCCTTTCAAGAGTATGCCAGTTATTGATGTAGGTGGCCTTTGAACTAAGCCTCAAAGGGAACTGAAGTTTCTAAGAGGCAGGAATGAAGGAGAGCATTTTAGGCATGGTGAACATCCTGTGTAGAGGCACAAATGGGAGACATATGAAGTCTGTATTGGAAATGGCAAATAACATGTAATCAGCCTATTAGAAAGAATGCTGGAGCTAGATATTGAAGGGTTTCAAATGCCAGAGTCCATATTTTATCCTAAGGGCAATGGGGAACTATTGAGACTTCTTGAGTAGACTATGTCAGGAGAGCTTGAAGAGGGATCCCTAGCACGCTGAGAATCCCCTTTGGGCTTGGAAGGATGTGGATGGGAGTCCCAGAAAATAGGCAAGTATAGCTGGATTGCCACCTGTATCGTTGATTGGGGTACTCACAACATTGAAATTATAGATCCATTGGAGTACTAGAGTATTGGAGTTATTTGCTCTTTCATATTTCATAACTACAAATAGTAGTTAATGGAAAATTATTGTCCCGTATACATATGCATTCACCTGGAAGCGTACATGGAGGTGAACCTGTTACATTTGAAACCCTGGAACAAGGAGAGGACTAAGAGGACAATCTGAGGAAGATACACATGGTACAGTGCCTGTGCCTTACCCTTCTTGGAGTGGACGACCAGCCAGATAAACAGATGTACCCAGATCCCAGTGGTAAACAAGTCAGTGAAGGAATCATGGTAGTGATGGATATGTTTACAAATAATGATCTCTTGGGCTTGCTGATAGGATAGATTAGTGCTATTTCTGAGGCTGCTTTGAATCTACTCTGTATTTATCTTGTTATGTATCCATTTATATATGGTTACTTCCCCTAGCTACATTATAAACTCCTTGTACGCAGGACTATTTTCATTTTTTTCTTTGTATTCCCAGTGCTTGGGCATAGTGCCTATTATATATTTATTACACCCTGTCTGTTGTGTAGTAAGTATTAATAAAAGTTTGTTGGTTGGTGTTTTGAAAACTATTCAAAGTAATCATAATCTTTCATTATAAACTAGAATTCATTTAAGTAAGTGTAAACAGAAAAACCAATTCTCAATTCAATAAACATTTATTAACCACCTGCTCTGTGCCAGGCACTATGCTATACATTGGGGGTACAAAAAGAGGCTAAAGACGGTCCCTGTCCTCAAGGAGCTTACAATCTAATGGAGGAGACAACATACAAATAAATATGTATAAAGCAAGCTGCATGCAGGATAAATAGGAAGTAATTGACAGAGGGAAGGCACTGTAATTAAGACTGGTTAGGGAAGGCAGTGGTAGGAGGTGGGATTTTAGTTAGGACTTAAAGGAAGTCAGAGAGTTCAGTGGGCAGAGTAGAGGAAGGAGAGCATTCCAGGCCTGGGGGACAGCCAAAGATTGTGTGTCTTGTTTGTGGAACAGCCAGGAGACCAGTGTCACAGGATTGAAGAGTACATATTGGGAAGTAAGGTATAAGACAACTGAAAAGGTAGGAGGGGGCTGAGTCATGAAGGGCTTTGAATGCCAGAATATTTTGTATTTGCACCTAGAGGCTATAGGAAACCACTGATGGAGGGAAGTGACATCGTCATACTTGTATTTTAGGAAAATCACTTTAGTGGCCGAATGGATTGGAGTGGGGAGAGACTCAAGGTAGGCAGACTGTTGGAGTAATCCAAGTGTTAGGTGATGAGAGCCTTTATGATGGGTGGTATCAGAGGAGAGAAGGGCATATTCAGAAATGTTGCATAGGTGAAATTGACAAATGTTGCCAACAGATTGGATGGGAGGAGAGAGGGTGGGAGACGGTGAGGAATTTAGGATGATTCTTAGGTTGCCAGCCTGGAGGACTAGGAGGATGGTGTTGCCCTCTAGAGCAGGGGTGGAGAATGGGCAGCTTTGAGGCCACAGTGTGGCCTTCTAGGTCCTTGGGTGCAGCCTTTTGACTGAGTCCAAGTTTTACAGAACAAATCCTTTTATTAAGATGATTTGTTCTGTGAAGTTTGGATTCAGTCAAAGGGCCACACTTGAGGACCTAGAGGGCCACAGTTTCCTCACCCCTACGTAAGAGCGGGGAGGGTTTAGGGTGAAAGATAATGTGTTCGGTTTTGGATATGTTGAGTTTAAAATGTACTGAACATCCGTTCAAGATGTCTTGGAGGTTGGAGATCAGCAGAGAGACTGGGGCAGGAAAGGTAGATTTGAGAATCATCAGCAAAAAGATGGTAATTAAATCCATGGGAGCTAATGAGATCACCAAGTGAAGTAGTATAGAGGGAGAAGAGAGCCCAGGAAAGAACCCTGAGGGAAACCTACAGTTAGAGGGAGTTATCTGGAGGAGGATCCAGCGAAAGAGACAGAGAAGGAGCAGTTAGATAGGTAGGAGGAGAACCAAGAGAGATTTGTGCCCCCAAAACCTAGAGAGTATCAAGGAGGAGAGATTGATCAACAGTGTCAGAGGCCACAGAGAGGTTAAGGAAAATGAGGGTTGAGAAAAGGCCATTGGATTTAGTAGCTAATAGATCATTAGTAAATTTGAAGAGAGCAGTTTTGGTGGAATGATTAGGTCAGAAGCCAGATTTTAAGGGGTTAAGAAGAGTAGGAGGTGAAAAAGTAGAGGCACCTATTGAAGTTGTCCTTTTTAAGAGATTTAGACACAAAGGACAGAAGAGAAATAAGATGATAGTTAGCAGGGCTGGAAGGATCAATTCAGGGTTTTTTCAGGATAGGGGAGACAAGATCATGTTTGTAGGCAGTAGGAAATGAATCAGTAGAGACAGAGAGATTGAAAATAAGTGAGAGGGGACAGCTAGGTGGTGCAGTGCATAGACCACTGGCCCTGGAGTCAGGAGGACCTGAGTTCAAATGTGGCCTCAGACACATAACACTCACTAGCTGTGTGACTCTGGGCAAGTCACTTAACCCCAATTGCCTCACCCAAAAAAAAAAAAAGAAAGAAAAGAGAAGAGAAGAGAAGAAATGAGAGAGTGGAGATGGCAGATGTCTTGGAGAGTAGAAGAGTTAGTCTTGGTTAAGGAGTAAACCACTTCACCATATGAAACTGATTAAGGAGAAAGTGTCAAAAAGGCACCTGAATGATAAGAGATAAGGAAGAGAGTTTTTACTGAATTGTTTCATGTTTTTTTCTGTAAAATGTAAGGCAAGTTTCTTTACCTATCTGATCAAAGTAGATGATCAAGATAGTTGAGGAATATTGGTAATAAAGAGATTTATTTGTGTTATATGTTGTCCCAAATCTGATTCCATAGGGCATAATCCATTGGCATTGCCCACCTCAGTTTCTTGTTTCTTTTTTGGTGTGCTTCCTTCTCTGGGCAGTGGGATCCCATAGCACTTGGGTTGAGGCCCTGTCACAACAAAAGAATTCCTTTGACCCCTCTGCATATACTAACCCCAAAAGAGCTAAGAGTGCCTAACTAAAAAAATTCAGGGAAGAAATCATGAGTCTTTTTAAAAAGGATTAGCTTATAAAGAATAACTATATCAAGTTGATAATAACTCAATATTTCTGTAGTTTTTAAGATTAACAAAATGCTTTAGTCATAACCTTGTGAATTAGGTACTGAAAATACATTTTGCTGATTTTTATAGATGAATGGAAGAATGGATGAATGAACAAAAAATTCCATGAACAAAGATTTTAGATAATAAAACTAGGTGAATTGTAGATGCTAAATTGTTTCTTTATCTCCATTTTACAATTGGGTAAACTCAAGTACATTTCTTTTAAAGTAATTTGATCAAGGAGGTAACTAGGTGGCATAGAGGGCTGAGCCTGGAATCAGGTAGACTTGAATTCAAATCTGACCTCTGCTGTTAGCTATGTGATCTTGGGCAAGTCCTTTGACCTCTCTCTACCTCAGTTTCCTCATCTGTAAAATGAGGCTAATAATAGAACCAACCTCCCAGGTGTTGTTAGAATAAAATGAGATAATACTTGTACAGCACTATGTACATGAAAGTTATTAGTATGGTGGTGATTTATTACTATTACTACTATTATTAAAATCATAAATATTATCATCATCATCATCATCATCATCAAGGTAACAGCTAGTAACTTGATAAAGCCAGTATTCAGATCTCCAAGCTTTCCAATTCCAGATCCACAGATGTTTCTGTCACACAATAGTTGCCTCGTGATGTCAAGTTAGCTGTTTTCTCAAGCTAGAGAACAAAGAAACCTATAACGCCATTAGATGATGGTTCATGTGAGTTGCTGGAACATTGAAGACTTGATCACTTTATCTTGATGACTTGGGCAAATTAATTTAGCTAAATGATTCCTCCTTGGGCAGGTATTTGTTTTGCTTTAGTTTAAGCCTAGAGAAAAAGGCTAAAATAATAGAAAGAATACTAGATTTGTAGTGAGGAGACCTGGGTTTGAGTTAGAAGTTTTGCAGTTTACTAGCTGTTACAACCTTGGGGAAGCCATAACCTCTTTTAATCTTACCTGTAAAATGGGGATGATATTTGCATATGAGTATAAATAAGTAGCATTCTAGGACTAGGTTGTAATCTGCATATACTATTATTAGTACATTTAAAAAATAATCATGGGGGAAGAATGGCAAAAAAGTTATATTTCATTTCATTTACGGAGTTTGGAAACTTATGTTTATAGGTACAGTCACATTTGACCACTCGTTCTGAGGCTCCAGATAGAATTGTATTTGATACAAACTTTGAATACACAGATGTAGCTGGGTTGTTTTTTTTGTTGTTGTTGTTGTTTTTTAATAATAATTGGATATATGGTTCCAATGATGCTAATATTTTGTCCTTTGTGAAATGTTCCTAACAAAAAAGTTGTTATCACTAATATTTGGAACTGAGATATTTAAATGGATATATTTCTCTCTTTCTCTCTCTCTCTCTCTGTCACACACACACACACACACACACACACACACACACACACACACACACACTCTTTCCTACTATCCAAACTAGTGATTTCATCACTATGGAGAGCTTCTTCTGTAGAAACTCTCTCAAACTGACACAGATTGGCAGCTCATAGTAATTGACATAGTATTATCCTAGTCTTCTAAGGCTCTAAATATTTAACTCATTTACCCATTGTAGTGCATCCAATATGTTGCAGAGATGATATTTGACTCTTTGGTTGATGGTTCCAAAACCATCCTTCTAAAACACGTGCATACACGCGCACATATTTCTATGTAATTCATATATAAGATGTGTATATTACACACTACATCTCTGGGTACTAAAAGAGCTGGCAGGTTAGGGGCTTCACTTCCATTCCTAGCAAAATTCTAAAATGGATTATTAAAGAGATGGCTAATGAACATTTATGGAAAAAAAAAAGAAATATAACCAAGAACCTAGATGGCTTCTTCAAGAACAGATCATTCCAGGCCAATCTTGTGTCCTTTATTGACAGAATTATTAAATTGGTAGATAAAGGAAATACTATAGATATAATTTATCTAGATTTTCACAAAGGGTTCAATGAAACGCCTCGCACTATTCTTGTGGGAAAAGGTGGGAAGATGTGAGTGGATTAGCCAAGAGAATTGTTTGAGGGATTCGGGACTCATTGAAGGACCAGATCCTATGGTAGTCATCATAAATGGTTTGTGAACATGAACGGAAGAGAAGCTGTCTTTTGGAGTGATTGCCCTAGGTGGTTGTGTTTAGTGCTTCTCTTTTTTATATTTTTGTCAATGACTTTGAATATCATAAATGACATGCTTATCAGATTAGCAAATGACACAAAGCTGTAAGGGATAGCCAACCATTGGACAACAAACAGAATCAAGATCCAAAAAGGATCTTAACAGGCTAGGACATTGAGCTGGTGAATTTTCATGAAAAAGATGATATTGAGTAATTATTAATGTAAAGTCTTAACACTTGGTTTCAAAAATCAGCATTATAAACACCAGGGTGGCATTAATTTTTAAAAAATACTTAGGGTTTTTAGTGGGCTGTGGGCTCAGTGATTCTACAGTGTGAATAAGTGAATGAAAAAGGCATTTTTTAAGCACTTACTAAGCCTGGGAATATTTGATGTTATGCTATGAAATTCTTTTCTAAAATATCATGAATGTGAAAATCACAAAATTTAAGAGAACTTGTCCTCACTTAGACTTTATTTTTTACAATTATTCACATAACAAGATAAATTCTGTGCTTTTTGGTAATAGCTTTGTGACACCTTGATTAAACAGTCAATAAGTGTAGTGTCTTCTGGAATACTTAATTTGCTAGCTAACTGAAGGTGGTTTACCGAGATTTCATCATATGTCTCTATATCCCCCTTCAGTCCTGTCTCTCCTCATTCTCACTTCTATTTTATTTCATCTTTTTTCTACCTCTTACCAACACAGCTCTTCTTTTCATTGCTGATCTGTTCTTTCTTCCTGCTTTTCTAATTTATTTCACTCAGCTTTTCTTTCTCTGAATGAGATAACGTATTGAAAGCACTTTGAAATCATTTATTCTAGGTAGCGAAATTGCCTTAGTCAGTACCTAAAGGTAGAATCAGGATAAGTTATATAGTCCAGCCCAGCTGCAGTACTAATAGTATAAAATTTTCTTCCATGCCAGTAGAGACCTGGTTTACCAGCTAATCCAAAATGAAGATGTCCCCACCTTAAAAGGGATCTGTTCCCTTTTCCTCCTCTGCTGTGTCTGTAATTATCTAGTCAACTTAGGATGATTTAAGTATTAATTTCTCAGACCTTGAATGATCTGTATTCTATGATCTAGGAATCATCTTATACCAGTACAGAATTTCAGAGTTATGGATTCACTTTTGGAGACATCTTTCATTAGTCTAGCAAACCTGCTTTAGAGGAAGGAGGGTTTGGTTAATAGAACCTCTACAAGCCAGTTGGAGAAAAGTTGGCCTTCTCTTACAGTAATCTTGGTCTTCAAGCAAATTATATTTTAAAAGAGAAAAAAGTAGTATTTTTTTTTTACAAAACCAAATCTAATGGTAAATGTCAAAAAAGACTTGTGGAAAAAACATACTACATCTTGTTAATGTGATTTACTGCTTCTTAGACAGTGAAAAAACACTAGATTTAATATTTGTAACAGTAAATTTTTATTAAATGAAAGTCTATGAGAAAATATCTTTAACTTTTAAGATGCTCTTAAGATTCATTTAAAAAAATAATTACTCTTCTCATTTTGAGGAAATATAACAATAGGTATTTTATTAGTTAAAGATATAGTTGTGATTTGGGTGGGGTGGGGTGACTTCTCCATGTAGCCAGCATATATCAGAGAGTCAACTTCAACCTGGTTTTTGTTGTTGTAGGGCTATTTCTTTTCCACTAAGCCATTCTCAGGCAACTCTTCAAGACTGTAAATTGTAGAGCATTTGCAGATTTGTGTTGATAGAAGGAATTACTTCACCGAGAGTTACTAGATATGAAATCCTAGATATGCATTGCTTCTTCCTCACCTCATCCCCAAATTGTAATTCTTTTTTCTTAAGAATCTAATATTTGTTTTCAGTTTGTTTCATTTGAATTTTTTTTTAAAAAGCTGTCTTCATCATGAGAAGTGAAAAGCAGAAAAGTTTTGTGTTGTGTGAAGGGAAAAAATGTTTTATAAATACTTTGAGAAAGAGCCCCTACACCAGGAAGCAGGAGCCCTTGATTCTAGTTGCTGATTTGACACTCTATGAAATTGGGTTGATGACTTGTCTTCTTTGGCCAGGTTTACCAGTTTTAACAATTAAGAATAAGATGGATTTTTCAGTTCCCTTAACATTCTTTTGAGCTATAAGTTCTGTTACCAGAACCTATAAGATTATAGGAAACCAGGTCTACATTTAAACTGTTAGCTGTTAGCTTCCACAGGAGTTAATTTAGAATCCCCCTTAATTATAATATAATTTATTGGTAATTGAATGTATGCATTTATCAAAGCGTTTATCAGCAAGTGATCACAAGAACTCAACAGAGGGTCATTGGCCTAATAAGAGAACAAGGGCTCTTAGAGCAGAGGTGTCAGACATGCTGCCCATAGGCTGCATGCAGCCAACAACATTTTCAGGTGAGGCCCAAATCAGATAAAAATGTCTTTGGGAAATATTCAATAAAATAAATATAAATACAATAAAATAGTTTACATTTTAAAACTTAGTATGCAGCCTACAGGGATCTTTGTGCGTGGATTAGTGGCCCTTGTTTTTATTTGAGTTTGACACTATTATTTTAGAATATTGCAGACTGCCATAAGAGTCAGTATTGTCGATGCATGGTATAAAGCTCTTTAGTCTCTCAAAGAAAGCACATTCTTGCCCCTTCCCAGATACTTTTTGGTGGCATTGTTTTTTAAAGTCTTGAAGCAACTATACTAT